CCCCAAACCCCGCCCTCCACAGGCTCCACCCCCAAACCTCCAGAAATTTCCCCCAGTCTAGAGCCGGCAACCCTCAAAGCTATACAAGAAAGTCATCCTCAGTAATCAGAATGGGGGGGAAGTCACATCTTGCCCCTGTGCGATCACAAACCTCTCTCCCTCCCCCAGTCCCCAAAGAGTTGGCAACCCTATCCGTGCTCTAGGTGAGACACATTTCCTCTCCCTTTCGCCTTAATCAAGATGTTATATTACCTAGTTGTTTCTGCAAAGGACCATAAGGCACAAACCCATATTCTTCACCATGAGGGGTGTCAAACATGTGGCCCGGGGCCGGAACTGGCCCATTCAGGGCTCTTATCCGGCCCGAAGCATACCCTGTTGGTCCCTCCCCTCCACAAACCCCGCCCTCCCCAGGCTCCACCCCTGAACCTCCAGAAATTTCCCCCCGTCTAGAGCCGGCAACCCTCGAAGCTACACAAGAAAGTTGTCCTCAGTAATCAGAATGGGGGGGGAGTCACATCTTGCCCCTGTGCAATCACAAACCTCTCTCCCTCCCCCTGTCCCCTAAGAGTTGGCAACCCTAACCGTGCTCTAGGTGAGACACTTTTCCTCTCCCTTTCACCTTAATCAAGATGTTATATTCCCTAGTTGTTTCTGCAAAGGACCATAAGACACAAACCCATATTCTTCACCATGAGGGGTGTCAAACATGTGGCCCGGGGGCCGAAACCGGCCCATTCAGGGCTCTTATCCGGCCCGTGAGCAACTGGTGCAAGAGAGGGAAGGCAGAAAGCTGCTTGGGGGGGGGGGGTGGGGGGAGGCAGTAGTGAGGTGTGTGTCATCAAAGCTGTCAAGAAATGAAAGGAAATGACTAGGGGGTGGGTATGGCATCCCTTGAAAGAAGAAGAAGAGATTGGATTTATACCCCGCCCTTCACTCAGAGCTACATTACAAACTCCTTTTCCTTCCCCTCCCCACAACAGACACCCTGTGAGGTCGGTGGGGCTGAGAGAGCTCTGACAGAAACTGCTCTCTTTTAAGAACAGCTCTGACAGAACTATGGCTTGCCCAAGGTCACCCAGCAGGTGCCAGTGGAGGAGTGGGGAATCAAACCTGGTTCTCCCAGATTAGAGTCCACGCACCTTAACCAGTACACCAAACCTAGTCTTGCATAAGATTTAATACATTTATTGGGGCTTTCGTGGGTTCCCCAGTAAATCGATCGCTTTCACTCCCAGGAATCAATTGCTTCTGTGTGCATTTTGAGTTAAAAATAATATCGTTAATTGGGTTTGCCTGTGTCATTTATAAAGTTTATATCTCTAGTACCTGGCATTTCATTTTACAGCAGACATGGCCCAGGGCCCAACAGAGTAACAAATGAGTTTGACCCCTCTGCATTAGTAGAGTTCTATTCAGTTCAGAGGTCA